CGCCTCTGGCCCTTGCACTTCCTGCACCTGTAGCTGGACTGCCTTTTTTGTTTGTTTGTTTCTTTTCTGGGAAAAATAATCCAGATTATGGAGAGCTAACTTATTGAATGTCCCCTTGGAGAAGAGGCCATACTAGGCAGTTCACATAACCGCATCTCAGATTCTTCAACAACCCCCGTGAGACTGCTCCCGTCCTATTCTCAGCCCCATTTTACTGGTCAGAAAACTGAGGGCTAGAAAGGTGAGGCAGTTGGCCCAAAGCTTCACTGTGCCTGTGGGGTGGGTCTGAGAATTGAATCCATGTCTTTCTGCTTCTAGAATCCGAGGGCTAGACCAGCATTTCCCAAACCTTACTGTTTTTTGTTTTTTTTTTGAGATGGAGTCTTGCTCTGTCACCAAGGCTGGAGTGCAGTGGTGGGATCTCTGTTCACTGCAACCTCTGCCTCTTGGGTTCAAGTGATTCTCCTGCCTCAGCCTCCCGAGTAGCTGAGATTACAGGCATGCGCCACCATGCCCAGCTAATTTTTGTATTTTTAGTAGAGACAGGGTTTCACCATGTTGGCCAGGCTGGTCTCGAACTCCTGGCCTCAAGCAATCTGCCTGTCTTGGCCTCCTAAGGTGCTGAGATTACAGCCGTGAGCAACTGCGCCTGGCCTTACTCATTCTCATAACAACATTTTTGCCATGTCTGCTACCACCTATATTTATGATATTTGTTTAAATGGACTCCCTCCCACTTTTATTTTTTGTTAATTTTAGTTTCATCCTGAACAATGTTATCCAGGTCTGATAAGTTAATAACACAGTTGCTTCTAACATAAATTTGGAATAAATACCTGACTACTAAGATAAACACGTGCCTGTGTCCTGCCTTATAATCTTATAAACCTCAGTGGTTCAAGTATTATACACATTTTAACCATACATCACAAAAAGTCATAATCACATGGTATGTGTCCCACTCACCATAGCCTGCATGCACTATCAAATTCTATCCTCCATCAAACCTTTTCCTGATATAAGCCACCCTTGAAAATGCACTGAGCCAGGCATGGTGGCTCATGCCTGTAATCTCAACACTTTGGGAGGCTGAGGTGGGGAAATCACGAGGTCAGGAGTTCTGACCAACATGGTGAAACCCTGTCTCTACTAAAAATACAAAAAATTAGCTGGGTGTGGTAGCGCATGCCTGTAATCCCAGTTTCTGGGGAGGCTGATGCAGGAGAATCGCTTGAACCCAGGAGGCAGAGGTTGCAGTGAGGCAAGATCACGCCACTGAACTCCAGCCCAGGTAACAGTGTGAGACTCTGTCGAAAGAAAGAAAGAAGAAAGAAAGAGAGAGAGAGAGAGAGAGAGAGAGAGGAAGGAAGGAAGGAAGGAAGGAAGGAAGGAAGGAAGGAAGGAGGGAGGGAGGGAGGGAGGGAGGGAGGGAGGGGAGAGAAAGAGAGAGAGAAGGAAAGAAGGAAGGAAGGAAGGAGGGAGGGAGGGAGGGAAAGAAGAAAGAGAGAAAGAGAGAGAGAGAGAGAAAGAAAGAAAGAAAGAAAGAAAGAAAGAAAGAAAGAAAGAAAGAAAGAAAGAAAGAAAGAAAGAAAGAAAATGCATCAAAAGCCCTCCTTTTTCCTGAACCCCTCCTTGACTCCTCCAGCCCAAAAGCGCCCCTCCCTTTGTTGACAGCTAGAAAATTCATGCCATGAGCAAGCCACAAAAAGACAGGATAAAAAACAGGATGTGGCTTTTGTTTCTTCAAGTAGACTGGAAGATCTTGGAGGATTAAAAAAACTGAAAGCAAAAGAATTCCTATACCTTGAAGTCTAAGCTCTGGGAAACAGAGATGGACGCATACAGCAGGCGCTCAGTAAAGCCTGGGAAAATGACGGATATGGACACAGTACAGAGAGGGGGCCAGGCAGTACTTTCATGGCTAGGTTGGGGCCGGCCTGAATCATCCTTCCTCCTTTGCTAACAAGGCTCAAAACCTCACCTGGGGGTGCTCCCTCCCTCCCCCAGGATGGGTCTGGGACACAGCCTGGCCAGTCCATGCAGAACGTCCCCCTAGCTATTCCCATTGGTTCAGAAAGAGGGTCTGTTACTCAAACCCGGCTGAGGGAGTCAGGCCCAGCATTTCTGTTCTAATGGATGGGGATGGAGCAGCTTTTTCTTGCCAGCTTGAACCTGGGAGCCGTGGGCCTGGAAACACTGTCACCTTCCTGCTCCCACAGGGAGCCTGGGAGTTAGAACCCCTGTGGAAGAGGCAGAGACATAAGAGAGGGGAGGGCTTGGCAATGTGATTTGAGATCCTGGATCAAGACATTCCTGAAACAAGATCTACCCTCGGATTTTTCAGACAAACACTGTTTTATTGGCGTAAGCCTTTTTGAGTTGGGTTTTCTGTTACTTGGGCCCAAAATCACCCTGGAGGAACCCTGGACTGGGAGCCAGGGAAGCAGACTCAATCGTATCTGGGGTCTAAATGACCCTAGTGAGTCATTTCATCTCACATGACCCTGCCTCAAAGAGGCCTTCCCTGACTATCCTTCAACAGTTTCCATCCCTCCCTACCCCTCACTTCCTTGTCCAGCCCCATCATTGCACAATATCACATTCTATATTCATGACCTTGTTTGCTAGTACTCTACCTCCCTCACTGCAGTGTCCTCAGAACTCAGAATAAGGCTGGCATGCACGGGCCTTCTGTAAACATTTGTTGCAGGATCCTGCCTCAGTTTCTGCAGTTGTAAAATGGGAGAGTGGTGCTGCATTGTCCCCAGTAGCCTTCCAACAGGGCTGCATTGACTTCATCCTTTCATTGCCACCACCCAGGCCTCCAGGAACGTGGCGCAAGGTTTCACCCAATGGCACTGGAGTGCCTCCCAGAAAACCACGTTTCCCACAGAGTAGAAGATTTAATGATTTTCCTCCATTTCTTCCTCTGCCTACACAACCTCATTGACTAGGAAGTCCCCCTTGATGTCTAACCCAATATTTCATGCTGCAACCAAAGTCTATTTATGTGCATCTTTTCTGAGTTCTGGATTTCAGCAGCTGGAGTGTTGACTTCCAGACATTCCTGGCTAAGTAAGAACACAAAAGAACCAGTTTAAAGTGAGAAGAAACCCTGTGAGAAAATAAAAACTCCTTTACCTAGGAGATGCCCTCATTTTCTTCCCATGACCAGCTTCTGACTCGTCAGAAAGCTCTTTTCTTGTCTCCACACCTATGAACACAGCTCTTCCGGAGATGTGGGTACAAAAGAAAAGAGTAAAATAAATAAACTATCTGTTTAATCATTCTTATTGTCAAAACAACGGCTGAGCCAAAATACCGAGGCTCTGATTCATCCCAACTGACATCCCTTCTAGGGAGGAGGCAGGAGGCAGGGAAGTAAGAATTTTTAAACCCGTTTTCCAGATGAAGTCAGAGGAGGCTGAGACGTTCCAGAGTGCCAACGCCACAGTAAGCAACAGAAGCAAAGCCACTTTCTCTCTGTGGTCAGGGATCTGTCTTCTCTTCATTTAAATAGGGCAGAATTCAGTGGCAGGGCATGGTGGCTCAAGCCTGTAATCCCAGCACTTTGGGAGGCTGAGGCAGGTGGATCACTTGAGGTCAGGAGTTCGAGACCAGCCTGGCCAACATGGTGAAACCCCGTCTCTACTAAAAATACAAAAATTAGCCAGGTGCGGTGGCAGGCACCTGTAGTCCCGACTACTTGGGAGGCTGAAGCAGGAGAATCGCTTGAGTGTGGGAGGTGGAGGTTACAGTGAACTGAGATCACGCCACCACACTCCAGCTTAGGTGATAGAGGGAGACTCCATCTTAAAAATAATAATAATGAAAATAAAAATAAAAATAAATGGGGCAGAATTCAAAGGAAGATACACACAGTACCTAGGATGCAGGTTTCATCATTCGTTCACTCATTCATTCATTTAAGAAAATGAAACGCCTCGACTGAGCACTTTCCTATGTCCCAAGCTGGGTGTCTTCCCAAGTCACCTTGTACCCTCCCTACCCCTCTGGGGGAGGAAAGTCAGGAATCATTCATCCATTGGCTGAGTCGGGAGGTGGAATGACCTAATTGTTGAAAATTTTGTTCCTAGTTTGTTTTTTTTTTTTTTTTTTTTTTTTTTTTTGAGACGGAGTCTCGCTGTGTCCCCCAGGCTGGAGTGCAGTGGCCGGATCTCAGCTCACTGCAAGCTCCGCCTCCCGGGTTCACACCATTCTCCTGCCTCAGCCTCCCGAGTAGCTGGGACTACAGGTGCCCGCCACCGCTCCCGGCTAATTTTTGTATTTTTTTAGTAGAGACGGGGTTTCATGTGTTAGCCAGGATGGTCTCGATCTCCTGACCTCGTGATCCGCCCGTCTCGGCCTCCCAAAGTGCTGGGATTACAGGCTTGAGCCACCGCGGCCGGCCCCTAGTTTGTTCTTTGTCTTTTAATTTTATTTGTGGTGTTTCCTGACGTCCAGGGATTGTTAATGTTCATATGGTCAAATCTTTGTGTCTTTCCTTTGAGGACTCTGGCCTGAGATACCTAGAAAGGGCTCCCCGGGGAGTGATGTTTAGAGCCATATTTAAGGCCATATGTCATGAGCAGTTAGGGGTCCGAGGAGGCGATCCTGGCTCATTCTTTCATTTTACCAAGGAGGAAACTAGGCTCCATGGTGAGTAGGCAGCCCTGCCAGAGTCCAGGATTCTGCCCAGGGCTCTTTCTGCACATAATGAGTGCTCAGAGACCCTTATAAACATTAAGACAAGACAGAGGGCTCTCTACCTCCCAGGCTGCATTGCCGAGTAACTGACACAGCTTCTGTGAAGCCAGAGGCCATCTCATTCACCCTGTAAATTCCGTGTCATCTGCTTCGCTCTGAATATTCCTTCAACTGTCGCGCTGTGGCTACGGGCCCTCAAACCTATTCCCCTGAAGGCCCTTCTAGGCTTGTGAAGGCAGACACCACCAGGGGAAACACGAAGAGTCACATAAGCTTCCAAAACTCCAGGGACTGCGCTCGCTCCGGCAGCACATACACTAGATTTGGAATGATACAGAGAAGATTAGCATGTCCACTGCACAAGGATGACGTGCAAATCTGTGAAATGTTCCAGAATTTTTTTTAATAATAAAAAAATATAAATAAATTCCTGGACCAGTGAATTCATGGAAGCAGAGGGTAGAATGGTGATCGCCAGGGGGTGATCAAAGGATACAAATTTTCAGTTACAGAGGAGGAATAAGTTCAAGTGATCTGTGGTACTGCATGGAGACTATAGTTAATAATAAGATTATTATTATTATTATTATTATTATTTTGAGACGGAGTTTCGCTCTGTCACCCAGGCTGGAGTGCAATGGCGTGATCTTGGCTCACTGCAACATCCACCTCCTGGGTTCAGGTGATTCTCCTGCCTTAGCACCCTGAGTAGCTGGGATTACAAGCATGCACCACCATGCCTGGCTAATTTTGTGTTTTTAGTAGAGACGGGGTTTCACCATGTTGGTCAGGCTGGTCTTGAACTCCTGACCTCAGGTGATCCTCCCGCTTTGGTATCCCAAAGTGCTGGGATTACAGGTGTAAGCCATTGTGTCCGATCAACAAAATATTCTCGAAAATCAGTAAGAGAGTAGATTTTAAGTGTTCTCACCACAAAGAATGATAAGTATGTGAGGTAATGCATATACTAATTAGCTTGAATTAGCCATGCTACCAGGTATACACATTTCAAAACATTATGTTGTATACAGTAAAAAAATACAACTTGTATTCATTATAATTAATTTTTAAAACTCTTGGACATAAAAAACCATCACTAATACAATTAAAAGACATAAAACAATGAGGAAAAATATTTCCAACCTACATGACAAAGTATTTAGCCTCTTAAAATAGACAAAGCTGGTATAGAGTCATAAAAATGGCTAAAGAAAAATGACAGGCAAATCACAGAAATGGAAATAAAAGTGGGCAATGCATGCAGGAGAAATGTTTAGATTCATAAGGAATCAAGCAATGGAGGTGGAAACTGTAATTGTAATGACATCACTTCGTGTATCTTTCAGAGTAGCAATATTTGAAAAGAATGGTAACCCACAGTGTTAGCCAGATGGAGAAATGGCACGCTCACAACTGGAGGAAAGAAACTGATTCAGCTGTTCTGAGTTTTGGAATACATATTAAATTCCTTTAAAATGTGCATTTTTCTTATTTCTAGGGAATTATTTAGAAAGTATGTATAAGGAAGGAAATGCATTTCCACATCATTTATATGGGAAATGCTGAAAGTGGCCTATAGGCTGAGCACTAAAGAACTGGTGAAATATTCTCCAGTACAGGCTTCGCGGTCATGATATGAAGCCGTGGAAGTGACTGATGCTTCATAAAAGATGATGACAACATGCAGTTAAAAAAAAAAAAAAATCAGGTTAATAGGCCGGGAACTGTGGCTCATGCCTGTGATCCCAGCATTTTGGGAGGCCAAGATGGGCAGATAGCTTGAGGTCAGGAGTTCGAGACCAGCCTGGCCAACATGGTAAAACTCCATCTCTACTGAAAATACAAAAATTAGCCAAGGGTGGTGGTGCACGCCTGTAATCCCAGCTACTCGGGAGACTGAGACACTCGAGAATCACTTGAACCCTGGAGATGGAGGTTGCAGTGAGCCAGGATGGCACTACCACACTCCAGCCTGGGCGACAGAGCGAGACTCCGTCTGAAAAAAAAAAACAAATAAAAAATCAGGTTACAAATCAATATGTATACATCATTCCATTTCTGAAACACACACACATACATGAGTACAAGTACACAGAAAACAATCTGGAGGAAATATTCACTAAATTGTTAACAGTGGTTTACTTCAGAGGTAGAATTATTTATGTTTTCTTTCTTCTCTACATTTTCATTGATGTATCCCAGGACTGGGGAAGATAAGGAGGGGCTGAGGAGACAGACTCACATTCCTCTTGGAAATGTTATTTATCATAAACTTTCTAGGCAAATATGATAGTATTTATCGAAAGTCTTAATGTGTGTGAATCATTTCACCAGTCATTTTACTTCTAGGAATCTACCCTAAGGAAATAATCAGAGATGTGTGCAAAGACTTATGTACCAGGATATCCATTGTACAGTTATTTACAAGAGCAAAAAGTTGGAACCAGCCTAAATATCCAACAACAGAGAATTGTTTAAATACATGTCGGTTTGCTTTTACAATGAAGTGTGATGCAGTCATTTAAGGTGAGGCTGCATATTAGATGCCATGACAAAACATTCTTGATATAAAGAAAAAAAGTTTAAAATGGCAATATGATAGAAATATTGTAAAGTACTATACACAATAAATGATGAATTCTCATGTACAAAAGGCTGAAAAGTAGCTGCCTGCTGTGATCATCACTAAGTGATAGGATAGGTCATTTTTATTTTTTCTGTTTTCCTACACTTTGCAATTTCAGTACCAAAAAAAAAAAAAAAAAAAAAAACAGGTTACTGCCACAATATGATCTTTAAGAAAAAAAAAAATCTCAGGAACGTATAAACAGAAAGACACTCATCATTCATCCCTGTAAATCCTCACTTCCACGCCACACTGCTTGGTGATCACCATCGCGGAGCTACTTGGGGAGTCAAACGGCCGGGTTTATGATTCAAATACGTCCTCTCTAGACATCCTGTCTAGGTGCCAGCCGGACTCGGTCCTCCCCTCAAAGCTGCTCCCAGCCAATCCATAAGCTTCAGAGGGCTGAGAAGAAAACGGACCTGTATTTGTTTATTTATTTAGAGATGGATTCTCACTCTGCCGCCCAGGCTGGAGTGCAGTGGTGCAATGTAGGCTCACTGCAACCTCCGCCCCCCAGGTTCGAGCGATTCCCCCGCCTCAGCCTCCCCAGTAGCTGGGATTACAGACGCCTGCCACCACGCCCAGTTAATTTTTTGTATTTTTAGTAAAGATGGGGTTTCACCATGTTGGCCAAGCTGGTCTCGAACTCCAGACCTCAGATGGTCCACCCACCTAGGCTTCCCACAGTGCTGGGATTACAGGCGTGAGCCACCATGCCAGGCCGAAAACTGACCTGTTTTTAATATTAGGGACAGAGGCCGGGCGCAGTGGTTCAAGCCTGTAATCCCAGCACTTTGGGAGGCCGAGACAGGCGGATCACAAGGTCCGGAGATCGAGACCATCCTGGCTAACACGGTGAAACCCCTGTCTCTACTAAAAATCCGTCTCTACTAAAAAATACAACAAACTAGCCGGGCGAGGTGGCGGGCGCCTGTAGTCCCAGCTACTTGGGAGGCTAAGGCAGGAGAATGGCGTAAACCCGGGAGGCGAAGCTTGCAGTGAGCTGAGATCCCGCTACTGCACTCCAGCCTGGGCGACAGAGCAAGACTCCATCTCAAAAAAAAAAAAAAAAAAAAAAATTTTAGGGACAGAATCCTGTTGAGTCCAGCTGGCTGTGCTGCCCACACTTGCTCAGTCATCTCTGCTGTGTAATGGTGAAGTATTCGCCGTATTCTCAGAAAGCTCATTGTCAGGACAGGACAGAAGTTTCTAAATATGTGTTCTGGGGCTCACCCCTTTTCTTGTGGGGAAAATCAACCCATTTGCTAAAGACAATTAAAGTCATAGAAAGCCTGGAACTGTATCCCCGGTTGTCTGGATTTGTATCCCAGAGGCTCCTGGCTCAGACAGCTAAGATTTTTCAAACCTAACTACTTCTCACTGCTAATGAGGACCAGAATGGGAACAGGTTGCAAATGAAGAAGCTCCCAAACAGGGCATGAAGTGAGTACCCAAGGCCACCCCCAGCCAAGGGGACCTGGAGGAGACACTGGGCAGGGACACAGGGCAGAGACCAGGGACGGGGCAGCTGGGGTATCCGCTAGAAGGAAGAAACGCTCCTTGACAGCTGCCTTAAATACTGGACATGGGAAGAGAATTCTGGGCTCACCAGTGGGGTTTTGGGGCCTTTCAAGACAGCTCCAGGGAATGTTTGTGTCTCCTTCCTTCTATTCCTCCCTTCCCCTTTCCTTTCTCCCCTTCTTTCCCTCTTTCCTTCTCTCCTTCTCTTTCTTTCCTCCCTCTCTCCTCCTCGCCTCCTTCGTTCCTTCTTTTCTTCCCTCCCTTTCTTTCTCTGTTCTTTTGTTCTTTCCTTCTTTCTTTCCTTCCTTTCTTCCTTTCTCCCTCCTTTTTTCCCTCCTTCCCTCCTTCCTTCTCCCCCTCCTTCTTTCTTCCTTCTCCCTCCCTCCCTCTCTGCTGTCCCTCCTTTACTCCTGCTCAGTAACTATCTACTGAGTACCCAGCACATGTCAAGCCCCTGCCCAGCCCCGCAGTTGCAGTGACAAGCAAACCCAGACAGACTTCGTTCCTCGTGGATGTCCAGTCTAGCACACTGCTGCCCAGTCAAAATATAATGTGAGCCCTGTAGGTCATTTGAAATCTTCTAGTAGCCGCAAATCAAATGATAAAAAGAAACAGGCACACCGAATTTTATCCTCCGGTTTAGTTAACCCACTCTATCCAAATAGTATCACCTTGACATGTAGTCAATACTTTAAAATGATTTATGAAATATTTTATACTCATTTTTTCAGACTAAATCTTTGAAATCCAGTGTGTGTTCTACACTCACAGCACATCTCAGCTCAGTCCAGCCGCATTTCAAGTGTTCAGTAGCCACTGGGGTCTAAGGCAGAGATTCTCAACCTGGATCCCATAATTTTAGTGTGGGCTGTGCTGTGCATTGTGGAAGATTCAGCAGTGACCCTGGACCCTTTCCTCTAGTTCCAGTAGCGTCCCCTCTCTCCAGATGCAACAACCACAAATGTCTCCAGACACGGCCAAATGTCCCCTGGAGGTGGGAGCAAAGTTGGCCCCTGTTGATCTAGTGGCCACTGCACTGGACAGCATGAGTCTAGCAAGTCAGGGAAGATGCAATTGAGCCACTGCATGCAAGGGTGAGTGCCAGGGAGGGGCTGCACCTCGAGGAAGAGTGACACCGGCCCGGCAGCTGACCGGACTGGCTCAGAGGAGGTTCCCAGAGGACTAGGCTTTAAGCTGAGACCTTTCTCAAGTCCAGCAACCACATGTCTCACAGAAGGCTAAGCCGGGAT